ACGGTCGATCGTGAAGAACCTCTTACCGTGCAGCGCTACGAGCGTGAAGTTGATTATGACTCGCGCCCATATGACTATCGCTCCGAAAGAGACTATTACGAACGTGAGTACTATGCGCCCGAACGCATCCGCAGATATCCCGCCCCCATTGTCATTCGTGAAGCTCAGCCGGTAATCTTTCTTGAAGCCCGAGGTCCGGTCTACGTCAATCCGAGGGAGTCCGACTACGAAATCGTTCGCCGCTCTGAAGTAGACAGAGAGCCCGGAGGTTATTACTACCATCGCCGTGTTCGAGAATACGATGATGACCGCCGTTCTCGACGGGAACTAAGCCCTAGTGACTCCATCTCTCAGGCTGCCCGCCATCGAGATGACCAGGAGGCGTATAGCAGTGACGACAGCATGGTTTACATCCGTAAAGAAGTTCGAGAATACGATGATAGCCCCCATCATCGGCGACATCTGGCCGAGGGTGCGCTAGCGGGTGTCGGTGCCGCAGAACTGCTTCGCAATCACCGCAAAAAAGAAGGGGAAGAAGTGTCGGATGGTGTGGGCCGCCTGGGCAGGGATGTCGGCGCGGGTGCTCTGGGGGCTGTTGCGGCAGAGGCAGTTTCGCGCGTTAGAGACCACTACCGCAGCAAAAGCCGACATCGCTCCCATTCGATTGATGATGGCAGAAGCTCTCACTCGCGCCATCACCATCACCATCATCACCACCGCCATAGCCATAGCCGTCGCAGCCGCAGCCGTTCACACTCCCACTCACGCGCCAGACATCTTGCGGAACTTGGCCTAGGCGCTGCTGCCATTGCCGGAGCCGTGGCGTTGGCGCGGAGTAAGTCAAATTCAAACAAAGACCGACGAAGCCGCTCACGCCATCGCCGCGCCTCGAGCTCGCGCAGATCGCTAAAGGATAGCCATGAAGAGACACGCAGCCAGTCGCAACGCAGGAAACATATGGCAGAGGCTGGCCTGGCTGGAGCGGCTGTAGCGGGGCTGGTGGAGAAGGCACGCAGCCGTTCCCGCTCTCGCAGACGCGAGTCTCGATCACACAGTGCTATCCGGAAGGCCCTCCCCGTGGTAGCAGCTGGACTCGGAACGGCAGCGGCAACGGGTCTCTACGAGAAGAATAAGGAAAAGAAAGAAGAGGAGGAGTCACGACGTCGGGAACGTCGACGGTCGAGGTCGCGGAGCCGTGCCCCGTCGGAGGTGTACCCTGATCCAACGAGGGACTCACCTGGTTTGATTGAATACGGCGATCATCCAGTCCATGGCAGCATACCTCCTAACTACTATGGTAGGCCAGTGAGCCCGCATGGATATTATTCCGACGCTTCTGATCCTGTAGCCAGCGGTGCTGCGGGGTTCGGCTCCTCCAGGCATCGAACACGCAGTCTCAGTCGCAGTCGCAGCCGCAGCCGGGGCGTTCGATACAGTAGCGACTCGTCTGATTCCGATGGAGGCAGCCGCCGCAGGCGTCGAAGCCGTCACGGCAAGCATCGCAGCCGTTCCCGCGAAATTGCCGAAGCTGCTTTAGCCGCCACGGGAGTTGGGTATGCGGCCCACAAGCTTTCACAGAGAAACGAACGCAAGAAAGCGGATAGGGACAGAGATAGGCCGGGTAAGCCTTGGTGATCTGCGGTAAAAAACTTGGCATTCCAAGCTGACGATTGTCTGCTAGAATCCGATGAGGATGCACGCCGTGAGCCATATGACAACCCGTATAAAACTCCATTGCCCTATCCGGCCACACCTGCAGCAGCGCCTCGGCCAGTTGATGATCACCAGTATTATCCAAACGGCAACTACTTTCCGCCCCCTCCAGCGACAGGCCCACGCCCAGAACCGGCACCTTACAGCCCGGCTGACTATCCACACCCTCCTGGCCCGGTGCCACCCCAGTCGTACGAATATCCCTCTGGCCCTGGCCCAAACCCTTACGCTCCGCGGCCCCGCAGGGCAGACGAGAATGTGAGTGCATCGAACTATCCCCAGCCCACTGTCCAAGACCGCGCATTCGATGGTGGGTTCAGGAAGTCTGCCGCCAGTTGGGCTATTACTGACAGTGTTATTTAGGTATAGACGTCCAGTCGCCGCTGAGAACTCCCCGTGCGAGGAGGCGCCGATCACGCGCTGCCAGCCAGCCTCCGGGGCCAAAGTCAGTTGTATTTGATATCCAATCAGAGCATGAAAAGCAGAATGATCTCGGATACGAGACGGATGACAGCGATTCTACTATTGGGTCAATACATGGGAGCCGTCGCAACCGCCCTCGGGCTCGTCGACACTCTTCGTCGGAGCCGTACTCTTCATACAAACGTAGTGATGCTCGCTCTGGGTCACAGGGCCAGCAGGATAATGCGACAGAGTCAGATTCTGATTCGACGATTGATCTGCCAGACCGGTTTGACTCGCATGGTCGGCTTCTGCCACAGCCCGACGATGATCCGCTGGCAGGTCGGCTTGAGCAGCTCATGAGGGGATTTAACCGAGTCTTTGCGTAATCATGGTGTTTATTGTCACCTTTCTTTTTTTCCCACTGTTTATGCCGCTTCTGCTTGACGAACGAAGTAATGATGATGAATGATCTGATTTGACACGTCTGTTTAAACGAGAATATTACGCTTTAACGGCCTCATGTATCTACCAAATGCTTCCCTCTGGTCAATGTGGCTTCGTCTATGCAGAATGAAATTGATAACGCCGGCATTCGGCCGAACGATCTCGCAGATTTGATAGATCGTCCCGTTGAGGGAGATTTCCCAGTTCAAATGCCGATCTCTGCGTGCCTGCCTTGGACGAGGATGCGTCTTCCAGGAAAGGGAAATGCCGGGCGTAACCTAACATGTGCAGATCTGCAACCCCAAGAGCCGGACGATACATGAACCAATCCAACCGACAGGTCAAGTTAACTGTATTCCCTCCCTCACTGTGACCCACTGTGAAGAGAACAGCTGTCATTCTTGGAGTGTTCGCATTGGATGTATCTTGCAGTATGCATTATCCTCGGTCACAAGCACAGTCAGTCAGTCAGTCAGTAAGTAGTAGTAAGCCAGTTCCATCCAAGGCAGCCAGAAGAGACAACTAGGCAACCACCAGAACAAGAATCCTTCGGTTTATCTTGCATTGGGATCATCCTATTGGTGAGGATATTATATCCTTGTTCGCTTCTCGTTTATTCCTTCATCCTCCGCTGCCTTTTTTTCGTTCTTACCTACTTAGTAGCCTACTGCTTCTGTACCTGTGCATTAGAGTACTTTCATCTACGTCAAGTAAAGAAAGTATACTTGAGATTAAAGCCAAGTTGCCTACAGAATATCAGGAACAAAACTAAAAATAAAATAAAATACCTCAGCCAAATTTCTTCTATCCTTGCTTTAACTAGCACTCCAAACAACCATACTCAAATTGAATCAAGTGATCCACTACTAGTATTTACAGGTTAAGCATTATTAACCTTGCATACTTGATTCATACCCTTTCTCCCCCCCCACCCCATCATCATCATCATCATCATCATCATATACGTCTCTTTCCACTTTTCTCACTTCTTTACATACTACATACAGTAAGTTATGGCCTGTCTCATGTACGGTATTTATTTATTTTTATTTATTATTATTATTTTTTTGAGGTTCGGAATGTGGGGGGCAGCGCCCCCCCACCTCCCCCTGGGTTCCGGGTTTATTCGGGGTTCGGGATTTCAAAAGAGTGAAGAACATATGTATACTATACTAAGATATGCATTATGCAAGATTCGGAGTTACTTCGTTACTTCGGTTCCTCGTTTATTTTATTTTATTTTATTTTTTTTGGTTTCGTTTTCTCGTATCTGTCATGTTAGGAATAATAAGCAAATATCCATTTTTCTAATGCAACTATGGCAATCAATGGTTATGAAAACCTTCGACGTGAACTGAATTTAGTGACTGGGAGTTAATATTCATGGGTATCCATCACCCTTTTATAATAAGGAGTGCAAAACATGATTCACATACTACGTAGTTATCCAAATAAAAAGCTTGTCACTCTCTAGGATTAGACTGCGAGTACCTGATTTACATCTGGCTGGGTACTGGCTAGGTAGTTGGTACTAGGATAGTTCTCCATAATTAGATAGAGTTGTCTGTCTTCATGTTCTATCTGGTTCTTTTCTTAGTTGTCTTGTAGTATTAGCCTTCGGTATCTAGTCATTTCAGTGTATATACCTTTAGTATCTTTCGAGAGAAATCAGAAAAAAAATTGACTGAAATCACCAAGATTATCCAGTGTGTCCCCGAAACATGAAAGAAAACTACGGAATCCATCACCTCGGTATCTGTAGAGTTTCTAATGAAGTCAATCAGCCATCAGCTGAAAAGTATTACATCCATCCATCAATCATATTATGTATATCCATGCACTTCCCCCTATTCTCCTAAGTCTATGTACCCCTACCCCTATCTATCCACCATACCATGCAATTAACTTTCTTCAAATGTGGCACAGTCAAGCACCTCACATAGAATATTATGTACACACATACATAGATACAAAAAACGCATGGTTAGGAAGTTTCACAACCCCATGCAGAAGCAAAAGCAAGAGAGAACGACGTGTGCACCCGTCACCGATGCTCCCTCCCCTCCAGTCAAACACACAACGCTCCCAGCCAGGAACCAACCACGCAAGTTTGAAGCAAGCAACACAAGAAGAAAAACAAGTAAAAATAAGAAACAATTAAAAAAACAAACCCCCAGAGAATGAAAATAAAAAAAAGCTGTATAGAGCGCCGTGCTGATGCATACATAACGTTCTTTTCCTTTATTGTAATAAATAAAAGATGAAAAAAAACCGTGCCGTTCTCCATGCTTTTGCTGCCGTTTTCTTTTCATGATGAAAAATATCAGGTCGTTACACATCAGTTGAGAAATAGACCAATCGCTAGGTTTGATAAAATGAAAGCTCCAACAAAGGAAACACGTTATCGCAATAGCGTACTGTCATACGCCATGTTGAGTGGCACAAGGGGGGAGTAGCCCTTGCTCCGGTTGAGGGCCAACCCCATATGTAAGGGTCACCCCGGTCATTCAGTCCTTATCCAGGATAAATTAACCTTCCGCAAAATACAGGGAGGTAAAGACCGTCTAGACGAGAGCCCAGCACGATAAGGTATCGGAAGGAGACACAACTGAGTAATGCGAAGCCACGCGATCATGACTGACAGCTACGGAAAAACCAATTTCACGCCGTAAATGCTCGCTTGAGGGACCGAAAGGTCTTCTTCAACGCCTCGACCGCCGACATATCGACGTCTTCGGTTCGGGCGAGTCGGACTCGGCGATAATACTTGGTCCCAGAGATACTGACGGTCTTGTTGTCCGGCGGATGCTTGCCACCCCCATCCGTGTCATCGTCCTCATTAGGGATTACCTTAATGCTAGAACTGACGGATGCTGAGTGGAGACGGGAACTTAGTGGAAGTTGATATTTGACCACACCGCGGACGATTAGTTCGAATTCATGCTGGAGCACCCGCTCCCATCGCTCTGTGCCGCCTTCTTCCGTCTTGTTGCCCGGACGGGCAAGCCGAATTTGTCCTTTGGACGCCGTAGGAACATAATTCCATGGCGACGGCTCGAAAGACAGAGGGGAATCAAATCGGAACACCCGACCGAGCAACATAGTCTGAGGATCGCCCGCCGGATCAGATTCGATGGGATCTGTGCCCTTGTCCACGCCGCCCTTGGTCTTCTTGCCGTGCAGCGATAGGGTGCTGTTGAACAGGCAACTCGCATCGCCAGCGCAGCGAGCGATGAGAGCCATCTCGGCCCGTTTCCGGCTGTTCTCCACTCTGGGGACGGGACTCGAGTCGGTGCTGAGCTTGCGCCAAAGCTCGTCGGTTCCGACGAATCGACTCTTAGCGAAGATGTTCATGTCCATATCGTCAATGGACACGGGGAACAGGTTCGGATTGACGGCTTGTACATTGAGATCCAACATAATCTCTTGCTCGGAAGCAAGAACGTTTTGGATGTCCAGGATCTCCACATCCACAAGAGCCTTCGTGGAGGCCACCACGAACGACGTCACGCCCCCGACGAGCAAGAAAAGTAACAGACTGATGATGACACATGCACCGTACCGCGAAAAGTACCCGCGTTGCCGCTGTTGCATGTATTCCATCTGGCGTAGGCTGGCACTATTGGGCCGTCGTCCAGCGCCATGACGGCTGCGTGTCACTCGGGGGGACCCTACCAGCGGCGTCCGCTCGTCATCCGCCCCTTCGGCATCAAAATCATACCCGTAGCCATCATTCGACTTTTTGGTCCCGCTGATCGTGCGGTAGTTAGGTCCAGCGCGAGACCCCGGATGCCGGGACTGCCGGTACCCACCGCCGATAAAATGCCGGGGCGACTTGAGGTGCGTCTGAGGCTGAGGGAACGGTGACTCGTGATCGAACAAGGACGGATAGAGGTTATTGTTGCGTCCGTAACGCCCGATGTGATGGTGCCGGGGCGTGTGGGTGCCGCCGTTATCGACTCGGGAGTGGCTTCGGGCACTCTCCTCGCCAGGGTCGTCCGGCCCGGTAGCAAACGTATTATTCGTAAACTTCATGCTGCGTTTGCCGGTCACGCTGTGGTTGCCATCCCGGATTCCCGGCCGACTGCGAACCGCAGACAGCTGATCCACCTGGCTGGCCATGGAGGTGGCACTGGGGGTCCGGGAATGGTATCTGTTTTGCCGCACAGGATATGGGTCAGGAGGGTTGGACTCGTACACAAAGGTTTCGTCCGAGTCGGACACATCGGCCTCGTCAACGGCGCTGGCCACCTTAGCTTCGAAAATGTCCGCTTTGGAGGATGCAGCGCCGCTGGCCAAGGTCGCCGGTTTGCGCACCCGCTTCTTTTCTCTCTTGGCCCGGATTGTCTCCTGGCTACCTTTCATGCGAAGAGTGCCCGAAGGATCCACTCGGCCAGTATTACCCCGGTCCCCGGTAGCCACAGCGAGGGATACCTGGGGAATGGAGCTGACGGTCTCCGTCTCGACAATCATGTTCCGGACAGACCCATCCGCTGGTTTGGCACGAGGACCGCCGCTCAAAGATGTCGAGGACTGCTTGGAAAGAAGAGCATTGGTGCCCCGGGTCTTCGAAGCAGAATGACGGCGATGACCCTCCATTGGCTCGGAGCTCTTGTTCCCTCCACTATCGCTGCCACTCTCATTGTGGAACCGCGACGCCTTGGGGGTGGCGTCCGATTCATCGATCTTTTGTAACTGAGACTCTTCAGTCAGGGGTCGGTTCATGACCGTATCGGTCGAGGGCGTGGACTGATCGCTAGCCATCTCCTGGACGGTTTCCAGAGCCGACCCCTGGCCCCTATGTACGGCACGGGGAGCACTCCGGTCTGGCTTTGTCGCAAAGTCATCTGGCACCGACCGTTTGATCGAGGTATTCGGAGGAGTAGGCTCTTGTGGTTCCGACCGCCGCGTTGTGGCCCATAATGGCATGGTGGACTTGTCCGGATCGGGCACATCGGAGAACGTTTCGGCATTGGGGGGTGGGCTGAGGACGGGAGGTCTGCTGTTCTGGGACAGCGCTCGTTGTACGACCGTGGCGGAGGGGAGCGTGCCAGAACCAGTATTCGTTGTTGTAATGGAACGATTGGGACTGCGATCGATGCTGCCTTTGCGAGATCGAGAGGAAGTGTGACGGGGGGTTGCACTGGTCTTGCGCGGACGAGAGGAGCGGACGGGGGAGGACTCGCGGGAGGATATAGTCGAGTTGGTGGTAGACGTTGAGGCGGAGACGCCAGGAACCGCATGCGAGAACTTAGGCAGCTGTGACGCGGCGGAGCCCTGGGCTTGGGATCGAAAGGTTGAACGTGGCACTTCTATCATGTCACTTTCACTGGCAGATCGGCGTTGTGCAGACAAGGCAGCCTCATCTCCGTGGGCCATACGAGATCCACCAGAGGTCCCATTGGGATAAGGTGACCTCCCGGACTCCGCCGCCATGATCTCTGGCGAGTCAGAGCTTTCTGACAAGACCGGTAGAAATCACGAAGTCCGAGAGGGAACCGGAACAAAGGTCCGGACAGGGGAGGATGGGAGAAAAAAAAAGGGTAAGAAAAAAAGGAAGAAAAAGGAAAAGTAAATCCCAATAATGAAGTATCGGTGAGCCACCAGCCGGCAGGAGACCCCAGGACGGACGGAAGGGGGAGGAGGGCCCCAAAAAAAAGAGACAACAAAAAAAATAAAAGCACTGGGTGTCAGGAGATTCGGGGGTGCTCGAGAGGAAAAAACGGCGAAAGCTAAGTGGTCGCCGCGTTGGGAATTCAGGACAGCGGTATCCTGTCTGTCGTACCAAACCACGTTACACAGTCAACCGAATGAGAGGACGAATGGACGACAGCCACATGCTGCTGATGGTCTTGAGAATTACCAGATGGAGGGAAAAGTATATCAACCCTGCGAGGAGGAGGGGAAAGGTTTGTAGAGAGGGATGCAAGAACTAGGGGGGGTGTATGTGTGTGCGTGTGTGGTGAATGTATGGTGCAGCCCACCCCAGCGGAGGATATTGTGTTGTTGTTGTTGTTGTTGTTGTTGTTGTTGTTGTTGTTGTTGTTTTCCTAGCCCGGGCCCTTTTTTCAGGAAACCAAGTAATAATCCAAGTAGACCGAAGCCGTCAACGCGGGCGCAACCGTGCACATAACTCGATCAGAAGACGGTGAGATGGAACGTCTAGAACAAGGCTCCAAGCGCGTTAGCTCACGGGAAGGACGAGAGAACGGTGTCGATCCAGGTGGCCAACTGCAGGTATGGCCGGAACGAGGCTTGCGGGAGGCGGACGGTTGTGGATGGTGGAGGTGAAGAGGGAGGGAGGGAGGGATGGAGGGGAGTCCAGAGAGGGTTTGATGATGTCTATTGGCAGCTGGCAGGAGGGAATGGCGGATGGACAAGCCAGGTTTCGACAGGCTGTCAGACGCAAGGAATCGATTGCGAAGTCAGAAACTTTCGACAGCGGAAACTGTCAGACACAGGCAGTCAGCAGTACTAGTAGCACCGCCAACCAACCATCCAGCCATCAAGGAACCAGCACCAGCACCAGCACCAGCAGCAAGAGAATAGTAGTAGTGTGTAGTGTGTAGTGTAGTGTATCCAGCTAGCTGCTTGGTACTTGGTAGTGATAGCACTAAGCCGGTACCCGAGAGAAGCTGACCCAGTTTTTCGCCAGTAACCGGGGCACCCAGAAAGTTGCAGCACGGGAGATAGGCCGAAAGTACTAGTCTAGATAGCTAGTAGATAGCGACGATTGCACTGACTTACTTAGGTAAGTCTAGTAAGTAAGTCACTAGATAGTTCCAGTCGTCGCCTGCGTGCGTACACACACACACAGAGAGAGAGAGAGAGAGAGGCAGTAGTATCTAGTACTAAGAAGAAAGAGGAGGACCCCGATCGGGCCAGTCAAGGGGAGAGGGGACGGCGAGACCCAATGATAGCCGCCCACGTCAAGGAACGGGAAGGAAAAAAAGGTGTCTAGCGTGGGAGTCAACAAGCAGTGAAGTGGACCTGTTTTCTTCTCTTTCCTTCCTTCCTTCCTTCTTTCTTTCTTTCAGCTAGCTGGTGGAGGTAGAGTAGCCGACCAGCAGGTAGATTGTGAAAGGAAGATAAACTAAACAGAGGACAGAAAGAGGGGGGAAAATGACGTGAGGAGGGGGTAAAAGACGGGAGATGAGATGAGATGAGATGAGAGGAAGTAGTATGTAGTAGTTAAGGATGTTTTTGTTTCGAGTTTCAAGCTAAGAATAAAACAATCCCCTTCCAAACGGGATTCCTCAGGAATCCACGCCATCATGAGCCTGAAGGTAATCAATACCTGCAGTGACATCGCAGTTTGGTAACTTTACCTGCTGCCACACCACCTTTTCCCCGACCATATGGGACAATACGGAACCAATACGGAACATCCCTCCGACCGGGAGGATCATCATGACTTCATCTCACCCCCCGGAGAAACACATTCGAGACGCGGAAAGAACTTCTTCCCAGCAGGTTTGTGCTAATAACCAGAAAAACTCTGTTTAAGCTTTTTACCAGATATCTTAGAATATTTCAAGGGGAAGGGGGGTTACATTCCCCCCTTTCACATGCTATATACCATAACCTCTATCATCCTAGCCATAATTATTATACACTCAGATAGATGGAAAGGAAAGAAGCTGTAGCCAGAACCCAAAGGTATTGCAAATAAACTCTCATCACGCCATACCTCTTCAATGCAACCCCAGTGCAATAGCCAAAAGAGCAACTAAATAGGAAATTGAATTGGAACCCAGCAAACCAGAGCCAACCTTCTACCCAGATCATCCTCTAAACTAGACTAGACAATCTTATAAACTCGTTTCGCAATGTAGAACGACGCAATGGCGAACAGAACTAGCCCCGCAGTAACTGAAGAGTAACTCCATTAGCCACGACATCCTCATCCAATGTAGAAGAGAGGGAGGGAGAGACTTACTCGACCAAAACCACGACAAACTATCCACATCCTGACCAGGCACCTTGACATTCATCCCCCACATACCACAGATAATATTCAGCGGCAGGACGATCGTTCCCAGCACCGTCAACTTCCCCAGCACATCGGCTGTTTGTTCCTGCCGCTCGTTCATCAGGATGTTGATCTGCGCCAGGTAGTTTGAATGCGCACGCGACAGAAGCCTACAACACAGCAGTCCAATTAGTAAATCAAATACCATTATTCCAAAGGGGCGGTTGTCGCGACGTACGTTTCGTAGTAGGTCAAGCTGCTGGTCATCGTCATGATATGGTCTTGGATATCACCCAGATAGAGACCAATCTCCGACTTGGGCGCCACTTCCCATTGCTCGTTGCATCGCTTGGCGAACCCCTTGACAACGTCTGCCTTGTTGCTCAAAAGGCGGTACATCCCCATCACCTTCTTGCGGCACACGCCCACGCGCCGCAGCATCTCACCGGGGGCCAGAGACGTGGTCACGCTCTGATTATCTTCTTCCTTGTTGGGCCCCATACCTCGCTCATCTGCATGCATCTGCATGATCTTCTCGTCGATCTCATCGACCTCGTCCTCGATGGCCTGAATCAAGGGGCCAAATACGTCCGTGATGTCATCAATAAGAGCATACGAGATCCAGTCGGAGCTGAGGATAAGGTAATCCATTAACTGACGGATTCGTCGGCGCACATTCGCCGGATGGGGCGTCTGCGAGAAGTGGAAGGACAGCACACCTTCCCGGAACACAACGACATACATGTTCACGGGCTCGAGATAGTTTTCGCTATTGGGGTCTTGCTCAAAGGTGCGGTAGTTGACAAAGTAATAGTTCCGGAACAGCTCGACTTTCTCGCGCGCCTCTTGCATCATGATATCCTCGGTCGTCAGGGCATGGATACCAAAGGATTTGGCGAGCACTCGCATTTCTGCATCGGTCGGGCACAGAACATCAAGCCAAAAGGTCGGCCGAGGCCCATACCGTTTGGGCTTGGGTTGTGCCGGTTTGCGTAGAGGCGACGCTTCGGCGGATGTTCGTGCCTCGGTGACAGCCTCACTGATGATGGACGTTCGAGGCTGGTGCCGTTGATTCCCATAGACACCCTGGTGATTGTTGGGATTATGGATACCATTGCCATTCGCGCCGTGACTGTTACCGTTCGGCGACATGACCCGGGATACGTTGCCGCTGGGCTGACGGCTATGGTTGTTGTGGTCTGTTGTGCTCTCCCTTTGATGGTGCTCCTCCTCTTCCTCCTCTTCATCCGACGAAATGTCTAACTCTGGCGGATCAGGGATAAAAAGCTCGCGGAAACTACCACCAGGCTGGCATAGCTCCGAGATGGTCTGGGCGTGAATAGTACTTTGGAACTCTTCGTTGAAGTACGTGAATCGGTAGGGAGCTTCCTCCTCTTCGCGTCGCCAGAGTCGGTACTGTGGACGAAGACGACCCTCGACAAGCATAGGCTCACTGATCTTCTTCGCGCGATAAGCACCTGAACGCTCCTCCTTCTCCTGGCGGCTCCAATCCTCCAAGACGGATAGATCCGGCCATTCCCTAAGCCGCCGCCGTCGGCGATGGCCTTCTTTGGCCGCCCTCTGTGCGTCTTCTTCGGCAATCTCCGAAACCTCTTCCGTTGGGAAGCAGACATCTTCTTCAGCTGGGAAGGTCGTACGACGACGGAGACGCTCCTGAGGGTTAATCTGCGGTGACGTCGGCGACGACCCAGGTGACTGCGCGGGTCGATTATTGGTTCCATCGACATCGATCAACACATCATGCGAGCGAGCCAGTTGTTCCATACGATTGTCAATCGACTTGGCAAGCGAAAAGTCGAACTCCGCCCCGGTGACCACTGCATCGTCATAGTTCATCTCAGGCCCGAGCTTGGGCGACGTTGGCATTGACGGAGGGTTGTTGATGTCATAATCACGATCTTGTTGCTCACCAAACTTGGGACTCGGTATGGCACGAGGCGAGCATCGAGAAGAGCTCGAACGACTGGAGGCAGGTCGTCGCTGGTGGAACGACAGCGGGCTTGACCGAAAGTCGGCCCCGTACCGAGGCAAGCTAGGACTATGACCAGAGGGCGGTGGCATCAACGGTGTCCGATCATTGACTTCCTCTTCTTCCCCACCACTATCATTATCCACTCGATACGATCTATGCGCCGACGGCAGGGTCTGGGAGCCCGACTCGGGACGAAAGGGGGTGGTCGAGGAACCGGGACGGTAAGATTGGGCGAGACGACTATCTCTCCGAGGTCTCATCGACGGTTGATGACTATGTAGAAATTAGCCCGATGAAACTAAATCCCAAACCAAGAGAAACATGACTGAGCAACATACCGATGATCCAACAAAGCTTCACTCTCCAAACTCGTACTACTGAGATCCCTACTACCCAGTTTATAGAACGGCAGCGAAGCTTGCGGCTTCGTCTGATCAGCCATCATGCTGATATCCTCACCTGCGTCGGGGATCGAGGCATGAGGAGCAGCGGGATGAGGATCCTCAGCGCCGCCGAGAAAGGACTGACGGCGATGACGACGCTTTCGATGACGGGGTTTTTTCCGTTTGGCAGATTTAACCGTGGTACCTGATCTGCTTCCTGCGCCATCGTCCTGCTTCCGATCCGAGCCAGGAGTTTCGTAGCCACGCGTGATTGCTAACTGGGAGTCACCGGCACGTCGAGTACTGTGTCGGGAGGGTTTGGACGGGCTGGGAGCGGTCTGATGCGGAGTTGACGGTGAAGGCTGCATTGTGATCTGGAACGAGGGCCTCGGGGCCGAGGATGCTGCATGCACGATGATCGGCCCAAAAATTTGGGAAAATGTTCCCTCAATTCCTTATCTTAATGGGTTCCACTTCCCAAGGCGATAAGTTTGCAGCTAGTAGTAAATAGTATACGGTTTAGCAGCACCATGCACGGGGGTTTTCGACACCGAGGAATGACTGCTGCGATAAGAATGAGAGTAACGATGACGAGGATAAAAAAAAAGGCAATCCAAGACGCAAGGTTATCGGGTATGCAGTGTCGGCCAGCCTAGTAGGGCTCAGCGTGGTCAGGGACAATTCATCGGGGCGCAGTGCGCAGTGCGATTGGAGATCGGCGAGCGAGGGGCGAGGCGTGGTGGGACATGAGGCACTTCCAACGGTAAGGGTTGAGCTCCATCAACTGGAGAAATGGGGGAAAATCCTAAGAAGTACTGTGTAGTACAGAGTACACGATGGGGATAGACTAGAATGGGGGTGAAAGGTGGGGAAGCCAATGAAGGACCTCTGCTGTCAAGAGAAGTTCCGAAGAACAAGCAACGATGGCGAAGATGGAAGAGTGAGGGAGTTCCAGACCAAATGCCTGGCAAAAAGCAAGGAAACCGGGAGCTCCAGTCCCCCTGCCCGGCCATAATCACCGCTTTAAGGCCCGCCCAGTCAGGTGATGACATCACTGGCTCACCGATGCTTTTTAGCTTCCCCCCAACGCCAAATACGGAAGTCTGTTCTTCAGAGCCTGCAATGGTCTCATTGTCATCATACTACATACAGTCATACATATTAGACACCACAATGTTACATTAACAACATGGGGAAAAATAAAATAAATAAAAGGCATAACTTCAAAGTAGCAATCAAGGCCGTCATATCGTCAGCTCTAGATATCGGGCATCATCATAGACATCATCAATATGAGACAAGAAATGAGAATATTATGAAACAGAAAATAGACAAAAAGTATCAAAGCAACCAGACAGGGGATATAATTGAAAGCACAGCAAACGCTCCAAGTAGCCTTCCAAGCATTATTCATTACCTTTTTTGAACCGGGTTGGATTCCGGCTCTCATCATCCATCCGTCCTGACGCCTCCCGTGCTAACCAACGCGAAAGAATAAACAAAACCATAACAACCCGCAAAGTAGGATGGATCAGACTCCCAGCAAATTGTGCAGTCGTCGTCTCCTAGTAGACTATGAGACATATTCTGGTCTGAGTGTGACGCCTCAGATCACATTGCTCATGTCCATGGTTGACGACGGGGCGACGCTGTGGACCGATCTCGTGGCATCCAGGGACATGCGGTCGCCGCTGAGCATCTTCACCACCTTCTTGTCCTTGTTGGGTCTAGCAATGAGCACTTGGGCCGGGCAGACGACCACCTCATCGTCGCCTTCTCCCCGGTCATTGCCCTTCTTCACCACCAACGGGAACAGAACAACCCGGACTACCGCTTGCTGTGTTTCCAGCTCTTCATTTGACGTGGTCTCTCCACTGCGCTCATTCATCAAGGAGGCGTTGAAGTAGACCTGGCGAGCAAGATCACCATTGGTGTCATACTCGGGCTGCAGTGGCGGTAGCATAATGTATTCTGCCAGCTGGGTGCGCATCTCAATCGACAGGTGGACCGCGACACGGAGCACCTTGCGGAGCGAGTCCAGAAGCTGGGCCTCGACATTGGTAGGTGGCGGGAGGAGGCGTGACAGAGTGTCAAAGATCTCCAAGGCGACAGCTTCAGTATCACTCTCACGCTGCTTCGAGAAGGTTGGCCGTTTCGAGAGCAGAGTCAGAGTAGTGGCGCGCCACCGGTGGATAGCACTGCGTGGGCCAATGTCGGCTAGTTGTTTCTCCAGAGACTTGAGCTTCTGTCGTTGCTCACGATCCATGCCGAATAGGTATCGTGTGAAGATAAACTCCCATACCATAGTCATGACAACAGACATGAATACATCACGACGACGAACTCGATCGCCGAGGTAGCTGTCTACATCGGAACCGTCCAGGATGGCGTTGTCGAACCGGTCGGCAATCTTTTCATCCTGCAGATCGCTGAGCTTGCGGCAGCGACGGTGGTCGGAATGCTTGGAGAAACGGAGGACCCATTGCTGTACATGACCACATAGCTTTTGGCAAGCAGCATCGAAATAATCCTCGTCGCGGAAGACCAAGACGTCGTCCTGCATGGCTGCCGCGATCTGTTGCTGTAGTTGTTTCACCTTGTCGCGAGCATTCTCCAATTCCTCCCGTAGCCGTCGTAGCTCCATATCCTTCTGGGCCAATGCCGTCTCCACTTCTTGTCGCACCCGATCGTGCATTTCTGCCGACAGTTGTTGGTTCTCCGAGCGCAACGCATCGACTTGGCGATCGAACGTCTCCTGCATAACTTGGACTTCCTGCGCATGAGTGGCAGTGAGGTTGGAGCTCGTCGTCGTGAGCCCGGCATTTTCTTCGGTCAGACGGGCTACTTCTTTCTGCAACCACTCCAGCGAGCTCTTCAATTGTTCCACTTCGGCATCCCTGTCCCGCAGATCGGCGTCGCGGCTGTTGAGGGCATGGTCACTCTTGCGTCGGGCGACGGAGGTTTTGCGGAGTTTATCTTCAGCTTCCTCACGAGCGGCGGCGAGAAGACGATTTTCCGAAATAAGGCGGTCGAGACGAGACTCGAGTTCTTGGAGATGTTGCATACTTCGACGGTGCCGAATGCTGGGCGGTCGGCTAGGCGACCGGGGCGAGCTGGGCGTCTCACCCCAACCCTCCTACAGTAGTAAACAGACGATCGGTTAGCCAACCCAGACCTTTCGATAACGACGAAAATACCAATGCACAGAATTCATGAAAATTCAACTAGTAGTACTTACATAAACGTCCGTCATATTACGCAGGGGACGCTTGCCCTTGTCGGTGACGGGGTCGTAGGAGGAAGAAGAGGCGATGCGCTCGAGGTTGAGGTCCGAGGCTGAAGAAGCGGGAGGCTGGGGCTTGCGCTCTGATTGGTCGTCGCTCTCCTGCGCCTGAGTGGTGGCTGCCGCCCGCAAATCTCCGCTGGCAGTGCGATGATTGCGTCGCAGCGATCGAGGAGTCGGCGTCTGCTCGAGGTTCGGCGTCATGTTGTGCATGCTCTTGACTCCTCGGATGCTGCTGCTGGGCCGTAGAATTGGCTTGTCTTGTTCCGGCGTCTTGAGCACCTCAGCCGGCCATCTACCGTCCACCAGCTGACCCTCAGGGCTACGCTTCTTGACATCGACATCGTCAAACGGCGTTTCTTTATCCGGTGTTGGCCAGGCCTGACGGGCCAACGCATTGTCAGTAAACTTCCGGGTCGGGGTTTCGGGGCGAGGAAGCACATGTTCGGGCTTCATCTCCAGACGGGGCGTGCCGCGTCCGTGACCCACGGTTCTTGAACCGGTGGATCTCTCCGTTCGACCCCTTGGCTCATCCTCCTCGATGGTTTGCAATGGTGTCCGCGGCGGGGAGACTGCCTCTCGATCCACCCCTGTCGGCTGCGGCGAGGGCGTACGTGGCTGAGAGTTTTGGTCGACCTCCAATGACCACGGCCGCCGCGTTTGGTTAGATCGACCGTGGATTGACGGGCTACGTCGTAGCTCACAAGTTGGGCTAGAGCGTGACGTTTCTTGTCCAATCTCTTTACCGGATGGGGATCCTGACCGAACGAGTACCGACTGTCGCTCATGCACGGGAGACGGGGCGTATAGTGGAGCCTCGTGGTGGGAAGAAGGGCTAGGCTCTGCGGTTTCGGCTTCAACTTCCTTGGGAATCTCCTTGTCCTTTTGTTCTTCCCACCGTATGTCAATTTGTCTAGACTTCTCTTCCGGTCCGTCCGAAAGCACAGAAACATTATACGAAGTATCTGCTTCAACTTCGATCACAGGCTCGTTTGGAGAAGGGTGCAATCCAGTCTCCAGTTGTGTAGACTCAGCTGCTTCAGCAGGTTCCGTAGCAATTTTGGCATCGTCCTGCCCCGAAGACGGGGAGTCGGCCGTGTTAATGGGCGCCTCCAAGACTATCGCGCTGTCGCGAATTGCTTCCTTGTCAATAGTCTCTTCCTCAGCCCCATCTTTTGCTGACTCGGACGGCTCAACTAGAGCTGGTCGACGAAAAAACCCCCGTTCCAGTTGAGGAAAGATGCTGGCAACCTTGCTTTGCTTCTGCGACTCCGAACCGAGGGATTCGCTGCTAGTCTTTGCGTAGATAGAGGGTTCTACATCGAGTGCTGTAGAGGGTGAAATTGGCGGAACAGCAGTTGCTTCAGAGGGAGCTTGTATGTCGCCTCGGGTTTGCTGAAATGCTCTGACTGTCGTTTTCCCTGCCGCGGCTGATGCGCTTGGGTGTCGGATCACCCCTTCCGGGATTGCGTTCTCGTCAAAATCTGCAATGCCTGGCTCGAACGGGACAGCACGAGCTTCGGGTGAGGAATCGGGTGATCGTTCGGTAGCATCGACTTCGCTTTTCTCCCAGTCTATTATAGGCCAAGAGTCATCATCTTGTGCGCGTTGCTCCCAAGCCGGGATCTCAGTTTCCTGTGGTGGAAAACTGGTGGCATCCTTTATGTGGGGTTGCTCACCTTCTGGGTTCTTGACATTGAGGGTTTGGCTTTCCAGACGCTTCTCTTCTTGCCCAGAGAGTAATGCTGGAGAGACATCGTCCAACGTAGCCTGTTCAGCAGCCAGCACGTCTGGTGCTTCAGTCACTTGCTGCTGGACCAGGTTCTGGTCCGCCGAAGCACCAGCGTCAACATCTGGCTGCTGCCCTCTATCAGACTCTACAAGCACTTGCTCAGCTCTTTGCTTGGCCTGTCTGCGTTCCTTCTTGGACAACTTCTTCGTTAGGGGAGCTGGTGCCTCCTGTCGTTCCGGGAACTTCTCAGACAACTCTTCAGACATCCCAAGGTCGTGCTTTGCTGTTAGTGTCTCGGTCTCCTGTTCTGCATTGGTCGTTTCTGGTTCTTGCTGGACAACCATATCTTGTCTCTCTGCAGTAGACAGCTCTCGGGGCTCATCAAACTCTTCTGCGCTGCGGACTGGTTCTTCCTCAGCCTGTGGGGCCTGGTGCTCTTCCTCGTCTCCACCCTCCTGCAAGGTGGGAGTTGTCAATTGGTTTTCTTCGACGGCGTTGCTTAGTTCTTCGGCGGCAGGACGGATGGAATCAAGAGTATCTGTCCACGTCAAACCCTCGTCACCGGTAACAGCCCCTTCAGTCGGTGCAAGCGTGGGACTGTTTTGCTCATCTCTGGCCTGTTTCTTCGCCTTCTTCTTTTTCTTCTTGGATTCTTTACGAGTGAGGACTGCCTCCTCCAAGGGCTTCTCCTGGGTCACATCACTCGGAATGGCTTCTGTTGCTTCCGCAGCAAATGAGTTGGTATTGTCTTCGTCCCTGACCATGTTGTCTTGAAGGGACTGCTCTGACGCCAGTGTAGGTCCTTTTGGTGCTTCTGCGGCTGACTCGAGAGCCTTGTCACCCGAAGGAGCTGGTTCATCAACAAAGTCGTTCAAGTTTGCGTCATCTTGCACGACATCCAAGCTGTTCTTGTCTGCTGTGGGTTCCAAAGCCTGCTCGAGAGTTGCCTCTGTCACTCCCTGTTGGCCGACCAGCTCATTGTCCGGCACTGCTTCGCTCTCGACCTGCGGTTCAGTTACCTCATGAGGCTCAGTCTCATCTTTCGCCTGACTCAACGCCTTCTTCTTCTTTTTCTTGTTTTTCTTCGTCTTAGAGACTGGCTCTGCAAGGGGTTCCCCAACATCTACTGCGGTTTCTTCGGCAGCCTCCGGAGTGACACCTTCGGGAATAGCATGTTCCTCAGGGGTGTCTTTCTCCACCTGAACAGTTGTTGTATTATCCAGCTGCTGATCACCTGTATCAAGCTTTGATTCAACTGGGACATCATTTGGCTGTTCAGCTTCCTCTCCGTGACTCTCGACAGGGGCAGCTATTTCAAAATCGTGTGCTGCTGGCTCCTCCTCGTCCTTTGGCGACTCGGCTGGCATAAGGGATGCGTCAGGGCCTGATTCAGTACTGGGAGGTGCGGTTTCCATGGGTAGCTCGTCGGGAATATCTGTAGCTGTTGCTTGCTCGTTTCCCTGAACTGCTGTACCCTGTTCGGTTTCTTCCTGGCTTGCTGCCTGCTCTGCCTGGCGCTTTTTCTTCTTTTCTTTTTTGCTCTTTTTCTTTGATGGTACATTGGTCGTATAATCATCCATCGCAACTACCCCCTCGATGGACTCTCCTTGCTGCATGGCATCCGGGGCTTCGATGACTTCTCCTACACGCGTCTCCGTAGCCTCATCCGCCAACTCCTTTTCCGGACTGACGCTAAGCAACTCTTCCTTTTTGACAAGCTGCTCACCCTCGTGCTCAGCGTCCTCCATAATCGGCGCCTGCTCTGTCTCCTTTACAACATCCTTAGAGACATCTTCGATCACATTTCGGTCGGTGCTGGACTCTCCTTGCTCCCCAACTGACGTTTGCCCAGTTTCATCGTCAGGCTTGACCATATCTTCAGCGGGCCGCGTCTCTGATCTTCCCTGCGCATCACCCGACTCCTCCGGCTCGCTAATTGCTAAAGGTTCATCTTGGCTTAAGTTATTGGCATCCAAGTCAACGGGTTTGAGTACTTCATCGGAGGGAACGGAAACTGGGTCGTCTTCACTTTTCTCATGCTCGGGTTGGGGTGGATGAGCGAAAGAAGTCGCTTGCTCTTGCTCTACCTGCGGAGATACCATGTCATCAGTCCAAATCAGATCTTTATCGTTCTCGCCGTGGTTTTCGGTGCCGTGGGACTGATTGTCTTTACCGTCATCTTCAGCAGGTATGTTTGCCGTTTCGAGCGATTGTTCCGCGGTCTTCGTTTCGCTGGGCACTGGAGTGTCGCTCGAATGGCGAGTCTCGTCAGCAGGCTCCGTAGCATCGGCTAGGCTCTTGGACTGGCGTTTCTTGTCTTTCTTTGCCTTCTTCCTCGCTTTGGCTGACATGGGAGGGGCGTCCTTCTCGGGATCTTCTGGTTGTGGAGCGACTACCTCGGATTCATGCAGAGCAGGGACTGTAGCGTCGACAGGTGTATCAGGCTCAACCACGGTTTCAGGTTCAAGTGCGGCCTCAGGTTCAAGCGGCGTTTGAGGTTCGATTGGGGTTCCAGGCTCGGTAGATAGCTCAGGCTCTGCAGGAGTACCGGGTTCGATTGGCGTAACTGGCTCGCTTGGGCCATCATCTGCACCAGTACCTTCGTTTGCCTCTGCAGTCATGCTTTTCTTCTTCTTCTTCTTTTTCTTCTTGGACTTAGAGGAGCCACTCTCCTGTTCAGCAGTCGTGGTCACAGGCTGGGGATCAACTTCTGGGGCAGAAGGGTGCGCATCCGTCTCCGGACTCGCTTCGGGCTGCAGTTGCTCTGCTGCTTCTTTGGCCATAATGTCTGCGACTGGTTCGTTCTCTTCTGCTGATTCCTTGGGAGTAACAGAAGCATCTTCGACCGAGTCAGATTTCGGGGTCTCCGTGGCATCAACTTCGTTTGATGGTAGAGTCACCGGATCCTCCGAATCTTCATTTTTCTCCTCAGTCACAGGTTCGGGTGAGTGCTGTACAGCATCCTCAGGACCAGTGGCATCCGTCGTAGTAGCTTGACTTTCGTCCGCTAAATTATGCGTTTCGCCAGTAGATGTTTCTTCAGCGGGCTGCTCTGAAGCAGTTTTAGCCTCTTGAGACTGACTCATTCCACATCCAGTATCATGGGAATCTTGGCACAGCCCAGAATGAGTGTCGTCTTTGGGTACGGGCTCATCATCCTGCTGACCGGCGCCAAGTGCATCGGCCGCAGGATCGCTGGGCTCAGAAGGTTGCGATTCCGGTTCTGCGTCTGCGAAAGAGACCGACTTCCTCTTTTTCTTGTCCTTCTTCGCCTTCTTCTTGGACTTCGATGACTCCTGTGGATCTTGGACAGGTTCAGTAGGCTCGGTCGGCTCACTGAGCGCAGTATCAATGTCCCTGGTCTCCTCTGTTGGCGGTTCTGGGACAGAGTTCTCAGAAGGGTCGACGTCCTCAGCTACAGCAGAGTTGCTGACGTCCTCAGGAGTGTCAGTAGGCCCGCTGCCTGCCTCGACTGGGGTTTCGTTGCTCTCATCCTCTTGCGCGGGCCCAGGCTGGGACTCATCAAGACTGGCAGACTGACGCTTCTTCTTCTTTTTCTTGTCTTTCTTTGATTTTGTAGAAGATGTAGGCTGAGTTCCTTCCTGTGCTGGCCCTTCTTGGCCCGCGTCAGTAGGTGTTTCATGCTCGACTGCGCCTTGCTCCGAAGTTTCAAGACTAGCAGGCAGTTCCGCTGGAGCCTGTTCTTGAGAGGCCTCTACAGTTGAAGGCACATCATCCTGTGATACTGAAGCTTCAATGGCTGCCGTTTCTGCCTCGGTATTCTTCTCGATTGAAGCGTCATTTTCAGCGCCATCATTCATGCCTGTCTGGCCCTCTTCAGCCTGGTGCGCTTCAGATACGGGCTCATCAGTCTTGGGTTCAGAATGCTCTTCCTGCACGTCGGTGGATTCGACATTTTCCTTTGATGGCTCGTTGTCTAGAGGCGCTTGATCAACGGCATCCATGGCTCCAGTTGCTGAAGCTTCTGTCTCAGTTGCAGTCATCTCACCCGTAGGGCTCTTCTCAGCCGCCTCCTGAGGTTGCTCCTCTGTGGTAGTAGTGTCAGGTTCCGATACACCATTAGCAGAAATTTGTGGCTCAGCATCAGTGAAGGTCGCATCGTGATGCTGGTCGTCTGCAGTGTCTGCAGACTCCGTAGTCTCCGGCGCGACATCCTCAGAAGGTGCAGTTGCACCTTGAGGCAAATCGCTCGGTGACTCGTCGATTGCAATGGCCGGATTCTCTTCTTCAGAAGGAGCCTCCTTAGATTGCTCCAACACAAGCCCTTCGCTTGCCTCTACGTTTTCGTTTGTCGGAAGATCCACTTTTTCATCCACGGGAGACTTTGGCTCCTCAGGAGCTGGGTCTTCTGGTGGAGCATCCTCGGGCACGGCCACAGCTTCTGATTCGGGCGCTGGCGTGATGTCAACGGATTCGGCCTGCTTCTGCTGCTTCTTCTTTTCCTTCTTCGCCTTCTTCCTTTGAGCGGCAGTCATGGGAGGAGCTTCAGTGGCTTGCTCTACAGGGGCTTCGGTTGCGTCGATGGGTTCTGTCTCTCGGACTGACTCTTCTTGTTGCTCGGGCTCTGTGGGGGCGGAACCTTCGGCAGCGACGGGTACTTCCGCGGGCTCAACCGTAGGATCGATATTGTCTAGGGGAGGCTCGACAGGTGCTAGGCTCTCGTCGGGCGTCGCAGACAGGCTTTGTCGCTTCTTCTTCTTGTTCTTCTTGCTCTTTTTACCAGTCGGTGTAGAACTCCCCGCTTCGGATTCAGGGTCTAGTTCAGGCGCCGCCTCGACCGCCGATTGATCGGGCACATGTGGTGCCTGATCATTGGCCTCGGTCTGCTCCACCGGCAGGGTTGAGTCGCTAACTGTGGCATCGGCGAGGGGCTCCGCTATAGCGTCCTCGGAAGCCTCATTATTTTGCTGGGCGGCGGATGGCAGCTCACCGCTTGTTTGGAGGAGCGGGGGCTCGGCGGAGTCTTCTTGACTGGGGTCGGGCTGTTTAGCCTCAGCTTCGGGTTCAGGCTCAGGCTCAGGCTCGGTTTCGTCCAGGGCGGAAGATTTGCGATTCTTCTTCTTTTTCTTGTTTTTCTTCTTCGGTTGTTCCTCTACTGTCTCTTCTGCTTGAATCTCTTGGGCGTCCCCAGCCGAGTCGCCTGTCTCGGGCTTTTCTCCCTCAGAAAGCTTCAATTCATCGCTTCTCTCCGTTTCCGCAACATGGCTCGACAGTTCTTTGTTTTCGTCGCGAGCCTCATCTGGCACCTTCGATTCGGAGGATTCTTCGCCAGTCACAGTTGATTCAGGCACAGTTCCACTCGCGGTGGCGATCTCAACTTCAGTCGCAATTTCAGCCTTGGACGCAGCTTCAGTCACAGGATCACCTTCAATCCCCGAAGCAGCTTCGGTTTCGGCTGCAGCTTCGGGCTCCAAGACAGGTTCGCTCTCGACAGCAGCTACGGGCTCAGGAGCAACTTCTAGTTCCGGCGCTGCCTCGGTTCCGAGTGCAGCTTCCACTTCGGGGGTAGCTTCAGCGTTAGCTGCAACCTCAGGTTCTGGAGCAGGTTCACTCTCGGGGGCAGCTCCAGTGTCAACAACCGCTACATCCTTAGGAGCAAGCTCAGGTTCCGTGGCAGCTTGAGCTTCAGGAGCAAGTTCGGCCGAAGACGCTGGTAGAGAATCCTCAGTTGGCTCTGATTCTAGCGAGGTCGCGGCGGCGCTTTTGCGCTTGTTCTTCTTCTTCTTTTTGCTACTTTTGCGGGATAGAGAAGCTTCCGGTTCCTCTGCGGTTTCCTGGGAGTTATCTTGGGCTATAGCTGGGTCGGGAATCGTTTTCGCTTCATCGGCAGCAGATAAGTCCATGGTTTCCGCTATATCCTTCTGCAGCTCGGCTTCGGTCGCTGGGACCTCGTTATCTTCTTTAGCCTCGGAGAGCTGTTCTTTCTCTTGCGTCTGGATATCAGCTTCTTGGGCTTCGCTTTGCTGCAGCTGCTCTCTTGCTTTTTCGGACTCAACTGGCTCGGCTTTAATGGCTTCCTTTTCCATGGCGAGATCTTGTGACGTTTCTTCCGCTACTGTAATTTTAGTATCAGCACTAGGATATAGGTCTTCAGGCTGATGCTCCAAGACCGGCGCCTCATTCTCATTCGGCTCCACAACATCTGCAGAGTTATTATGGCTCGCCGTTTGAGTAATTTCAGGCTCAGTAGGTGCTGCAAGTTCCTGGGGCAACTGGGAGTTGTTGGCATCCTCCGTAGATTCTGTAGCATAAACGGGAGTATGGTCGGCCGGTGAGGTTTCAGGCGCATCAGCCGCTGTAGGCACGTCTGGTCCGGCTGCAGTAGCCTGACTGGTCTCCTCGTTCGCGAGGTTGACACCCTCCTCGGAGGGCTTACTATTCTCCTCTACACCCGTAGCATCCTGTGTTGTCACAGCCTCGTCACCTGGCTCGGCCTTGTTGTCCGTAGCGTCGTCCTCGAGGGGTGTCTCAGTCTCAACCTCCTTGGGTTGCTCGGTTGATCCTGCCGTCTGTTCAATAATAGCCTCCTCAGCTAGCTGAGCCGCATCTAGGTCCCCAGACGCTTTAGTAATCTCGGTCTTTTCTTCCACAACCGTAGACTCTTCGGCAGGCTTAGTGTCTTCGGCGTTTACAGCCTCTTCTGCAGTCAAGTCTTGGGATGCACCTTTACTCTTCTTCTTCTTCTTTTTCTTGGCTTTTTTAGAAGAGGCCGGTGCATCCGCAGACTCTGCGGCGTCAGCAACAGGTGCTGCTTCAACCTCTGGCTGAGGTTCGGGGATTGCCGGGGTCTCTTCTGCCTTAGGTTCCTCTACCACAGATTCTTCTCGTAGAGTGCTTGGCTCTTCCACGGCAGGCGTATCTTGAGGCGTAGTCGCTGCAGGCTGTTCAGTTTCTGCAGGCTCTTCGGCGGCTGGGATGTCTAGATTTGCATCGTCCAGTCCTCCCGATTTGGCTAGTGACTCCTCAGGTATGACTTGATCGGCCAGTTGTGGTTCCTGGGCGTCCTGTTCGGTTGGCTTATTGGCCTCTGCAGAAACCTCTTCTGTGATTGAAGCGTCACCGGGATCGGACACTTCTTGAGATGTGGGCTCGATTTGCTTCTCGGATTCCGCGGCAGGCGCCTCGGTTAAGGCAGGTTGCCCAGCTAGAACTGGCTCTTGTGCCTCTGTCTCCGCTAGCTTTCCCTCATTTTCGAGCTCAAGTGCAGTTTCTCCGGTCGATTCTGCGGCTACAGTAGGCTGTCCAGCGGTTGCTGTCTCTTGGGAACTGGGCTCTGTGTCGGCCTCAGCTGTTGTAGGTACAGGCTCCGTCTCGGTGACTATCTTTTCAGGGGCAGCAGCGGGCTCAGCCGGCCCCGGCTCCTGGATTTCAGACTCTAGCGCCTGCTCAGACACCGCAGGCTCATTAGCGCTCTGTGCAATCCGCTCCTCCTGGGATGTAGTTGGCTCATCCGAAGCTGGGGTAGGCTCGGGAGTGCCTAGGTCGATGCTCTTGCCCTTCTTCTTCTTCTTATTTTTCTTCTTCTTCGAAGACGTAGATACATCTGCAACAGGCTCTTCGGCTTGGGTATCGAGGGGCTCAGTCGTAGCGTCACCCGTGGCTTCGGCTGCGGGCTCCGAGCTGAGGAGAGCATCATCGGTCTTGATAGGCACCGGCGCCTGATGCTCGGTTTCAGGGGCCTTCTCGGACAGGAGTGGCTCTCCGTTACTCTCAGTAGGTCCAGCAGAGTCGCTTACTGGTACTTCCTGAGCAATCTCTGCCTCCACAAGGGCCTTTTCTCCCTCCGGCTCTTTCACCTCGACGGGGGTATCCTCGACGATTGTCACTTCAGGCCCACTGACGCCTAGCTCTTCGGGCTGTTCCTGCGTAGATTCACCGGCATGGTGTCCTGGGTCAGCTGGAGTAGGTTCCGGGTTTTCTACAGTAATGTCACCCGCAGCAGCCTCCATCGGCTCCTGTTTAGCCTCAGATGAGTCTTCTCC